TGATGCACGTAGGCTGGATGAGGTTGATAAGGAAGAAGGGGTTGAATTTGGAAAGTATTATGAGGTTAAACCAATAGGATTTGCTGAGGGGTAAGATATAGGGGTGGTGGCAGCTGTTTGGCCCGTGAGGGAGAGAGCAGGAGACAGACACTGAGAACAGCAGTGAGACAGACTGGGTGGATGCGGGTGCTCTTTTCCAGAGAGAGGAACACTGGGGAGGGCAGATTTGGGGGGCAAAGGTCAAGAATTGGGTGATGGACTTCTGAAATCCGCAATCCCTGTTCCCATCTCAGAGAGTAGGCAGGTGGAGTTGTCAGAGAGGTGTGGTGGGGTCACAAATGCCAGCTGAGGGTGAGCGCCACCTGCACCCCGAGACCACAGAGCCTGGGCTGCTCACTTCCCTTGGTGGCCCTGCTTTGGAACAGGTTTTCCCGAGGTGGTTGTGATGGCACTGGTCAGTACACACATGTTTTTAATTTAGCATTTAATATATTTTTTTAATATTCTTTATGAAAAATGCATGTTACAAAGACATGATTTCAAGATGCTATTATGTGGACTGTTGTTAAAACTGAAGTATTTAAATATTTTTTAAAAAAGAATCATCTTTTTAAATAAAACTATTAAGAAAATAATAGTACATGTGGTATATGTAATAGTACACAGATATGGGGAAAAACTAATACATAAATGAAGTGTGGGACACAATTCACAGTGTTTTTAATGAGTTCCCTAGCTGATTCCTATCTCATCTCAGTTTAAGAATCACTTTCTCAGTAGGTAGAGGCCAGCATTTGTTTTAAAAGGAACTAAACTAGAAATAGAGTTAATTGCTGATAGTATTGACAAATATTGTTTCATGACATAGAATATGAACTTTACAGTGAAAAAAGTTAGGAAGCTACTGTCTTAGGGCCTAAGCTTTAGAGACAGAAGCATCCCGTTTTGGTAACACACCTCTTGAGCTAATTTGAAAAATCCAGGAGGAGATGAGAAAAAAAAAAATGACCTCTGCTCTTTGCAAGGTTATTAATTATGGAGGTTTCATAAATTATTTTGTGATTAATTCCGTGGGTTTTAGAAGCCTATGATGTCATAATTGAAAATGTGCTTTATCTTCTAAATGGTACATTTCCTTGATGTTCATTTGGGTTTCTGATCCTTACTTTGATATGCTACAGAACTTTTAAATCTCCCTGTCTTACATATTCTATCAGTAAATTTATTTTCATGGAGTTTTTCTGACTTGTCATGATCTTATATTGCTTGTTCAGGGGTCCCTTAAATTGCTCCTGTTTGTAATAGCTTCGTTCTATTTGAGTATAGTATTCAGTAAGAACTTCGATGGGGGCAGGGGAGTAAAATATAAACTCAGAATTGCATGGAGAAGTTTATTCTTCTCTGAAAATGCATGAGATTATTTTCAGAATTAAAACTCTTTAATAAAGTAGTCCATGAGGCCTTGAAGCATTTAATATATACTCCACTATGTGATTTTCTGTTCGTTTTTTAATTTCTAGGCTGGAAATATATGTCTGAGATTAGTTGTTTTTTTTTTTTTTTTAAATAATGGGACTAATGCCAAAATTATAGATAAGCTTAGTTTTAAATTTTCCTTGTGGTTCTTTTGATATAGAGTGACTTATACCTGATTTAAAGAATTAGGCTTTTATACACAGTCTGATGTCAGCAACTAAATTCATTTGGCACCCATTATTTCACAACTGATATATCGTTTTCCATGGAGCATTCTTATAAATATGTTTACATGATGCAAATTAAGCTAAAGTACTATGCTATCAGATCTGTAATGTTAAGGGAACAATAATTTCTTTAAAAACTATGATCTGTAGTGTTAAGGGATATTTATAATTTCTAAAATGACTTAATAGGAGAAGGCTTGGTGAAGGTATTTAGCATAGAGATGAAATATGTCTCATTAAGTTTCTACATTATGCACATATCAACTCTTCTTTTGTTAGCCTCTCAGTGTATTTACATAACTGAGGGCTGCTACTTTTTATTAATGATAGTTATCACCACAAAATGATTTTGGTTGAATCCAACTGAGCAATACAATGTGCTTCCACTTTCAGAAAACTAATGGTGAGGAATCCAACCCCCACCCCATAAGCTCTCCTTGCAGTGAAGGGCCCTTATTTGCATATGTAAATAAGCCATTCAGTTTAGAACCCTGTGGGGCCCACCCAGGTCCAATTTGTTACTTTGCTGATGTTGATGGCATTAGCCAGAAGGTAAATGGTATCAGGAGACTTATGTCTCAGTCAGGAAAGACAGATATCTAAGCCTGAAGGTTGTCATTGAGGAGGAGAAATGGATTCTTGTGACTTAAAATTTGGGAAAGAAAATGAAGCTGCAGATTTTGCCTTTAATGTTGAGTGATAGAATTGAATGTTTTCTTGAACATGGAAAACTATGTGAACAGATTTGTTATAGAAACATTGGTTTCCTGGGATACCACAGAGCTGGTCTCCTATTTGCTTCCTAAAAATGTATAAAGTATAATTGAATGGATATAGCAGTACTTAATTGCCTAAGTACAATGGTTCATCATTTGTACCTTCTGTAGATGTGTAAGTGCCTCTGGTAGGTAGAAAGACTGGAAAAGGGGAAAGAAATATCTTTTCAGTTAGGGTCTCCCTGAAGTGTTTAAAAAGCAGTCATGGTTAGCTTCTAATGAATTAAATTCTTCTCAGTGGTTCCCATCTAGGATCTAGCTATGTGCACCTTTCCACAAATCTTAGTATCACTAAACTAAGTGGGACATATGAGCAACTAACTACCAACAACTTTTTTTAAAAACAACAGAATACAATGTTAACAATTTTATAGAAAAATATATGAGTTATGTGGAACGAAACTTGCTGTGGGCTGTTCACAATTCCTTTATTTTCACTGCATATGCAATTCATTAAATGACTTTAATCTTCCTTCTGTTGAGATGTATCACTGCAATCTCTGTGGAAATACTTTGATTATTTCATAGGCCTATTTGTTCATCACAAGCAGACTATTGTTACAGATTCATCATACTTAGTAATAAACGAGAGAAAATAGAGACCAGGTTTCAAAAACCCACCTCTCTTGGAGGATGCGCTTGCTCACTTTAACCCAGCCTTCCACCTTCTGGGAGTTTAAGATTCAGCTCCCAGGTTTAATATCAACATCTGCCCCCTGCTGAGTTCATGGTACAATTAGCTAATTAAAAAAAATAACATTTTCACCTTGGAGTCAGAGGAAGAGCAATAAACCACAGGCCCAGGATTTAGTTAATTTGCACATTGACTGTAATTGTGTATTTAATGCTAGGATTAATTTTTTTCCTGATGAGTAGGAGCCTGTTGCTGTGCATTGGAACTCTTAAATCAGTTGTAATCATTCCATAGGGAAGGTTAATAAGGGCGGGTAGTTCTCCAGATATAATAATTGTTTATTTACATATGATAATTTATTTTGGGGAGGAAAAAAACATTGAAACTGCTTTCTGATAAACCATTAAGTTTAAAGGAGAATTTTCAAACTAAATCTATTATTTAATCCCCCCCCCAAAACTGTGTTTCTCATGTAGAAATGCTTGGATCCATTGAATTGGGAAGCCATACTCTGTTTTTTTGGTTTTGTTTTGCCTAATATTCAATGAGTCAGTGGATATCATTTCTGCTATTAAAGCTTTGGTACATTTTCTAGGTCAGTTGAGTTTCAAGACTATTTCCTTGCATTTTTTCCAAAGAGAGTAGCGAAAGAATGTGTGTTGGCAGGGCAGTTACTAGGAAAAACATAATCCTGACTTGCAATCTGCTACTTACGATATTTCCTGTTTGAAAGGTAAGCATTATACTGTGGACACCAAAGCAGTGATTGTCGGCAATTCAAGTGGGTGTGATTGATACATGTCTTAAAAATAATAGAGCTGTTATTCCTAGAAGAAAAAAAGAATTTTAAGTATTGTAATACGGACATTGCATTTTTATCTAAGTAGACGGTCTTTTCACCCTCCATTGATAATAGAGCTGAGCAAATGCTAGCCTCTTATCTGAGGATCATTTCCCTGCCTCTGACACCCTGGGGTTTCTGGAGATCATCTCTCTTTTGCTTTCATCTCTCCATCCTTGGAGTCGATGCTCACATGCTTCTTAAATTCTTGTTTACTATTGTCCAGCTTTGACGGATGGAAAAGTACAACTTTCTACCATCCGTTGAGGCCTCGATTTCAAACATATAGTACCTTGGGTTGTGTGTTTAGGTGTTTGGTGTGGAATGAGTAATGGGGAAGATGGTGAGCCTTTCTGTGAGTCCAGTATGTACATGAGGGCATTAAAAGGGTTGGTCTCAGGAGAGACCACTCTTTTACATAGTTTTAGATTATAAACTTAATGCTAAGTTTCTATTTAAGCCAATAAAATACATACATTTAGGGGCAGAGTTTTTGGTGGCTGCCCAGACACCATGAATTCTAACAGGATGATGGTAAAAGAGGAGCTTCTATGTCAGAAGATTTTTCATGGTTTTGAAGAGGACTGTGATTTCCCTGTCATTGTGGTGATACCCAAGTGGGTGGCAATCTAACCCCAAGAACGCTCTGTAATGCCTTCTGCTATTTTAAGAAGACTGATTTCATGTTCAGGGAAATCATGTTCCAGTTTTCCTTAGCATCCTTGAAATATAATTAGAGGCAATTATCAGATAATAGAAAAAATGAAGATTTGATGGCAAATGTCTTAAATACTAGGCTGTGTTCATGACTTTGTTACACATGTGCATATATAAGGCTATAACAAAATAATTTGCACATGCATGGCATGTGCTTTTTGTGGGGGAGAACTTGTCATGTGTTTTTGTGATTGACTTTGTAGCTAAAACAAAGTACGGTGCCGTTAAACACTGTCCCTCTCCCTTTTTTGACCATTTCCCCATCATCCCACGTCCTGCCTCTACCTTCCCACCTCTCGATCACTCCCCCATCTTCCATTCACTGTCAGGAAGGGCAGCCTCCGAAGAACCATTTCAACTCAGCCCGGCATCGCCAGAGACTAGTGGACCCAGCTGCTTCAAAAGTGAGTCCGTCCCGTCGCCCTGGGCAATGGGTATGCATGACGGTGTGGTTCCTCTGTGATAAATGGGGTGTGGGGCTTCATTTTTGCTGTTGTGTTTGAAGGCTTTAGGATGTGGATACTGAGAGGAGGTACAAAGTCTTCTCTATTAATCCAAGATCATGTACACCAGTGGTGTTCTAGTAAATGTTTAACAACCAGCCTGGAAAGCAAACCCCTGACTTGTAGCATGTGCTGGTTTCCCTGGTGTACATACCCTGGTGGCCAATTTCAAGTACCGGTGTGACGCTGTTGAACTCAGAGCTGGGAAGAGATGCCCAGTGGAGCACAACTATATGGTGGTTATATGATACGGTTTTTCCAACATATAGATACAATTGATGCAAACTCTAGTATTTATAAGATGTAACAAAATGATTAGGAACAAGCCAAGTAAATCGGTTTTGAGTACCTATTACCCTTGTTTTCAATATAATGTATTGCTTGTAGATTTAGTTATTCTTAATTCATCATAATGGCTGAGTTTAACAACTGGCACGTAAAACTCCTGAAACTTTACCCAGTTGGTGTGAGTCATCTCCAGTGCAGCAATTGTACATGCTACATAAATGTTGAGATCAGTTTCAAGCCAATTTGGTCATGCTCTTTTTGACAGATAGCAACAGCCACACAAAAGTGGCTGAAGTTTTGGGTGAGGATTTGCTCATCCCACACAGCTCAGTAAGTCTCGGGCCAGCTCTGGGGCACATAGACTGTAAATAAGGCGTTTGTTAGCCAGCAGGCACGAAGCGCTCATGAAACCTGTCTTATAAACTCAATGAAGTCCTGGCTCTCTGGCCTTTTTAAGCGCTCCAGATAAATTTTTTTTTTTTTTTGTGTGTGTGTGTGTGTGTGAAGTTTCACTCAAGGTCAACGTGACAACTTTCCAGAGACAGGATTCTCTGACTTTACAGTGGGCGTGTAGCAATGGCGATCCTCTGACCCATCGCCAGACGCAAGGCCAGTAAGCAGTTGAACCTCAGGTGTCAGTCCTCAGGGTACAAGTTTCAGGCATCCCTAGATTCCATGGCCTGTTCATACAAAGGTGGAGAATTTTGCCAATCCACTAACATTAAGTTTCTGGTGTTTACTAAGATACAGATACTGCTGATGTAATGTCACTTGGCCACACTGGGGGAGTATATTCTGATCACTAAACTGTGTTTAGGATATAATTTTAATCCATAAAAATTACATTGCCTATGCTGACATATTTGAAAGTAGGCTACTGACATACATCATAGCCCTTTGTCACATTTATTAGTTGCCTAGGGTGTCCCATCCCCCCTGTGCCCCAGACAACTGGCGTTAGCTCCGGAGCCTTTCGATGAATTCAAGGAGATTCTGTCAGCATTTTGAGAAAAAGATAAACCAGCTTTGAGTAAGTCTGGTGGTTTCATCATGTAAAGTGTGAATTTTGCTCAGGTAGAGCACAGCTCTGAGTACAGCAGGCCCTTCTTGGACCCCACCTACAAGTTTTAGCTAATGAGGCACTAAAATATTGTGTGAATGAAGCACATCCATTGTTATACACAGCCTGAACTTCCTGGTTGGCAGTGGTTTAAGGGCTCAACTCAGCCTGGGCTTTTGTTCCCCTCTCTTCCTTTTGCTCTGCATTCATTTCATTCTGTCTTGGTATTTTCAGAAATGCGGTGCCTCACCATACAATGTGTTCTATGGTACACTGTAAATTAGCTGGCTTTCTTCTGTTGCTGGTGAGAGTCTTTTTGTTTTGTTTGGAGTGAGACTCGTGGCTTGTTTTTCTAGACAAAATTTAAGAGGAACTCATTAAACTGCTATAGAGAAGATGTCTGGTGCCTTAATGTGCTGTGTGAATTGGTTTGGCCATGTTACCAAATAGGTTTAAAAGGTCACATCCTTTCCTCCCCAAAATACTGCAGTGGTAGAATTTTGGGAAGGGCCTAAAAATCTTTTCTAACATTTAGGAGACACGGGAGAAACCACTGTTTGCTGTGCAGATACATCACTTGGACAATAAATGGCAAATGGAAATGTGCATCTGTGTAGCCAGTGACCTTTCATTATAAGCACACTTGGCTTAGAATCTGTGCTGTATCATTTTCAACTCAATAACCTGAGTCGTAGTAAAGAATTCCTACAAATTACAGGTTCCTATATTCTGGGGGGCAGTCACAATTTATGGTAAACCAGCTGCCAAATCTTTTGTGAACATTGATTTTATTGTGAGTCTGCGTTGTCTAATCTAGGAGCAAAGTGTGGTGAGGTAGAAACGTTTTGCTTCCCATTAGCAATGTGGTGTGGCACAAAGAATATACTGGCCTGGGTTGTACGTAATTTGGCTTTGTCACCAACCTCTGTAGCCTTGAGTGGTCATTTAATGTGTGCCCCCACTGCTCTAGATTTTCTCATCTATAAAATGAGAGTATATGAAATGTTCTCATTATCAAATGGTGGAATTTTTTTCCCATCAAGGCTATTTATTAATATAATCAGATACTTTACTATTTGGTCTGAGATTTTTGAATGGCGTTTCTCAACCATAAATCCCTCTACAAATGGCATCATTCCTCGTTACTTGCAAAGCATTATTATTAGACAGTCTTCTAACAGTATCTTCAGTGAAAGTTAATTTTTAAAACAGAAATTACTTTAAAGCTATGGGGAAAATATGGACCAGAAATAAGGGCTCGTTCTCCACTCAAAGAGTTGGCTTTTTTTTTTTAAGCCTGCATTTTTTCTTTGTTTTAGAAAGCCTTTTGTGCTTTGAGTGTAGGAAAATAAGCTTTTAAATCTTTTATTTGAATAAGAGTAAAGGGTTGGGGGAAAGCAAAGATAAGTATGAAGTATGTACGTCTGATTGGCTAAGCTTGTCCACTGAGAATTTCTAAAGTGTCTTTCACTTTGAGAACATGCTCACCTGTCTGTCCCCCAGTATGAACGCTGTAATACAGCAAAGGAACAAAGAATGAAGCAAAACGGACCGTAGGAATAATAGTTCAAAGACCACAGCAGTTATTTGTGAAGCTGGTAAAGGCCTCTGTTAAATAAAAATCAATTTGATATGGGAGCATCGGGGACATGATCTGCTGGACAGAAGAGAACATGAAAGTGTGCAAAGGATTAGTTTTCAAATCTCCTGGCATTTCAGCGCAAAAGGATGATGGAGATTTATTCTAGATGAGCTGTCATTTTACATTGGAGGCTTTGCTGATCCAGAATAAATAGGTTCATAAAGATTGCATTGAAATTTTGAGCATGTGGTAGGCATAGCATCTAATAAATTTCAAAACCAGAAAGTATTGTAACATTCTATCCTCCTTTAAAAAAACAAACTGCTCATATGCACAGATAATCCAACTACGAAAAACCTACACATAATTCTAAATCCATTGTTTCAATCTACTGTAGGGCTTTGAAAATCCTTTCTACTAATTCTGAGCGATTTCTCTACCTTTCTCTAATGATAACAAGGTTTATAAAACCTGGGCTCCCCTGCTGGGAAAATCAGCCCAGAGCTATCTCAGAGCAGATGGTCTTCTTTTCTCACTACTATAAAGCTTTTAGGATTGATCCTTTTTTTCATTTTTACCTATCTGAAGAATAAATGTCTTTGAGACCTTAGAAACCCACTGTTCAGAGGGGACAAGCAGCTGCCTTGACCAGAGTTCATAGTTGCACAGATGATGTGAAATAAAGCCATGGAAAATCATAACATTGTGTCTCTGTCTGTAGTATTGAAAAAGACAGGTTAATTTTTAAGCATTCAGGGGATAGACTTTAAAATATCTATATTTTTGAGTCATTATGCATTTGGGTTTCTGGATGTAATTAACACCTTCCTGGTCCCAGGAATTTCAGCTGTTAACGAATAATTTCTTTTTTGGAGGGTGTAATACTTGTTACTATATTTAAGGACATAGATGGGGAAGAGATTGGAAGGCTGGTTGCCATAATTATTCTGGGAGTCTTTTAGTCACAGAAAATGTGCTATGTAAACTTTTTATAAGGGCCTTTAGGGATGATAAGTTTCTAATAGAAATTTTTGAGGTAGCTTGTAGTTTTTGTTTTTATATCAGCCATCTATAAATTATCTTTGGTCCCAACTGAAATGGGCATGGATCTCTTTTCTGGAACTTATTAGTCAGGACTTTGAGCCAATTACTTAATCACTCCGAAAAAGCTTTAGTTTCCTTATCTAAAAGATGGAGAATAAATAATATCAATGCCATCAGGTTATTTTGAGAATTAAATGAGATAATGCATGAAAAGCTTTTACCACATGGTCAGGCACTTAATGAGTATCAAATTGTAATGCTCCTTTAACTTATGTAATAGTTAATAAGTAATCATTATTTAACTTTTATGGGATTTTTCCCCCTCTATTTCATAAATAAGTGGTTAGGACCAGATGATCTTTGAAGTAAAAAGTCTGTGTCATTAAAAGTCTGTATAGTTCTACTTATTTTAAATGCAAGCTATTCACTCAGTAGTGTGCTAGGCATGAAAGAATATAAATTGTAGGATTTAATTTTTACCCTCCAGAATGTTATTTAACTGGCAAAGACATAAAGCAGAGACAATAACGAATTGTCTGGTAACCAGTGTCAATGCCGTGTCGATTTTGAGTGGAGGGGGATCTGTGAGTGGCAGCCAGAAAAGGCTTCCCAGCAGTGGCGGTTTTTCATCTGGGCCTAGAAGTGGGGTAGGGCTTTTTAACAGAGCACCGGTGAGGGCATGCGTGTTACACGAATGCACGCAGCAGTCACCGGCCAGACTGGGACACAGGGGATGTGCCGCAGGTGGAGATGAGATGGGAGGTGTGCTCCTGTCATGACCTTTCATGGTGGGATGCACACCGGCTCTGAGATCATGCACACCTGTTTTCAAATTCTGTGTCCTTATCTCTTCATCAACACAATGGGAAAATGACACCATCTACCTCATTAGGAATGATGTCATACTTAGGTGGTCTGGTGCCCCCA